CAATGTATGAAAAAAAACAACAACAAAACACCACAGCCAACTGGGATTTATTCTAGGTATATAAGGCTGGTTCAACATTTGAAAATCAACCAGTTGTACGCTATGGTATCAATAGGCTAAAGAAGAAAAATCACATGATCCTATCAATTGATGAAGAAAAATGCATTTGACAAAACTCTTTCATGACAGAAACTCCCAGCACACTAGGAATAGAGGGGAACTTTCTCAATCTCATAAAAAGCAACTACAAAAAATCCTATAGGCAACATTATACTTAATTGTAGATGAAACACTAAAAATTGTTTCCCTCTAAGATCAGGAACAAGCAAGGATGTCTACTCTCACCACTTTTATTTTAACATGGTACTAAAGTTCTAGCCACTATAATAGGCAAAAAATGGAAAGAAAAGAAAAAAAGATATGCAGATTGGAAAAAATAAAACTGTCTCTATTTGCAGACTACAACATGATCTTCTACACAGAAAATCTGAATCTGAAAGAAGCTGCAAGCATTTCCTAGGACTAATATGTAATTTTAGTTAAGACCACACAGGACATAAGCTCAACACGTAATTAAACTGTATTTCTATATAGTGAAATGAACAAATGCAAACCAAAATTAAAAATGCAATACCACTTTTAATTGCTTCAGAGAAAATAAAACACTTGGGTATAAATATACAAACATCATGTACAGGATTTGTGTTATGAAAATTATAATGTGTCAATGAAAGAAATCAAAGAAAATCTAAATAGCAAGAGACTCATACTATGGCCATGAACTAGAAAACTTAACACAAGATCAATTCCTCCTAAAATGATCTATATGTTTAATATAACTCCTATCAAAATCTCATCAAGTTTCTTTGTAGATAACGAAAAATAAAGGAGGAATCACTCTCGCTGATGTTAAGGGTTATTATATAGCTGCAGCAACAAAGACAGAAGTACTGTCTTGGGATAGACACAATAGAGGTCGACAGAACAGAATACAGAACCCAAAAATACACCCAAATCAATATGCCTAATTAATTTTTGTCCAAGAACCAAAAGCAATTCAATGGAGGAGGGAAACTGGATATCCAGAGGCAAAAAACAAAAACAAAAAACTACTTTGACCTAAACCTCACATTCAAAACTGATCATACACTTAAATATAAAATGTAAAACTTCTAGAACAGGACATAGGAAAAAAACTTTGGGACCCAGAACAAGGGAAAGAGGCGTTAAAAACAAAATCATGATTTATCTGTAAGAGGAAAACTGATAAAACTAGACTCATCAAAATTAAAAACTTCTGCCCCGTAAAAGACCCTGTTAACATAAGATAAATTACACACTAGGAGAAAATATTTCAAATCACATATATGACAAAGACTTTCTGTCTAAAGTATATTACCAAAACAAAATCCTCAAAACTCAACATCAAAACAAACCAATTAGAAAATGGGCAAAAGACATGCACAATCATTTCACCAAAGATGGCAAATAAATACAAAAAGAGATGTTTAACATATTAAGCATTCAGATAAATGAGATATCACTGTATACCTATTAGGCTAAAATAAAAAGTAATAATCCCAAATGCTAGCAAGGATACAGGAGAAACTGGATCACACAAACATTGTTGATGATAATGTAAAGTGGTACAGTAGTCTGGAAAATAGTGCAGAAGTTCTTGTGCAACTAAAAATGGGTGACCCAGCAACTACACTCATAGGTATTTATCCCAGAAAAATAAAAAACATATTCACACAAAAACTTGTACATGTATGGTTCATAGCAGCTTTATCTGTAATAGTATAAAACTAGATACCCAAATGTCTTTCAATGGGTGAGTGGTTATAAACAAACTGTGGTACATATATATTATGGAATACTTCTCAGCAGTAAGAAGAAATGAACTACTGATATATGAAAAACTTGGATGAACCTCAGGATATCATGCTAAGTGAAAAACGCTAATCTCAAAAAAATACAAAGTACATGATTCCATTTATGTCACATGAACTAACATAATCATAGAGATGGAGAACAGATTAGTGGTTGCCAGACTAGGGATGGGTTTGGCTATAAAGGAGTAACAAGGTGAGTCTTGTGGTGATGGTATAATTGAGTATTTTGATTGTGGTGGTGATTATACATATTCTGTGAATCTATAATTATTCAAAACAAAACATTAAAAGAAACTCAAAGGCAGCTAACACTAATTTAGTTGACTTTCTTTCCAAAGACAACATACTTCAAATTTGTACTGATTAAAATTTTTCTTTCCAAACAAGCTATAATTATGCTGCCATTTTATTACTATTTGATTACAATGTCAGCTAAGTCAATTCTTTTCTAAATATAGTACCTTTTGACTTTTCTAACCAGAATTTAATTCACTCATTACCAGTAAAATGTGTTTTGTGGATTTTAGTCATCAATAAGCAGTCTATTTGTAAAACATGCAAATTTTTTTCCTGACAATGTAAATTGATTAATATAATTTTATCTTACTCAATCCTGCTTTAACCTAAAAGCATGCAATTGTAAGATAATATAGCCTGTGGCTGTGGAATACAATGTGGCTCTAGTAAATATATACAGGAAGATCAGATTTACAACTTTCACATGGACATGACTTTTCCAGAGAACTTACTTTTAGGTTCTAATATTGATCAAATTTGTTCAGAACGTCTGTGTCTTATATGTAATTAAATGTGAGTGGACAAGAAAATCACATGACACTTATTTGGTTCACTTCAAAGTAACTTTTAAATGAAGTTATTTTTTCTAAAGGAAATCAATAAGGTTATGTGCAAATAAGAGGTAAAGATGAAAAAATATCACAAGTTAAAAATATCAGATGTCTCCTACCACCATGTGAGGACACAAACAAGTCTGTGGTCTGGAAGACAGCCCTCACCTGACCATGCTGGCACCTGATACCAGACTTGCAGCCTTCAGAACTATCTCTGAGGGAATAACTAGGGCCTGACAAGTTACAAGACTTTGAGAAACAAAAGGCACTCTGGACTCAAGAACAGATACGGGAATATATAGTCACTCTGGCTATGATAGTTTCACTAGTTCAACATAATGAAATAGACATGAGACAGCTCTTTTCCTCCCTGGTTACTTGAAGATGGGCTGCCATCATGAACAACTTAATAACTATCCATACCAGGAAGTTCATGACCAACAAACTACTTCAGCGGAAACAAATGGTCATCGATGTCCTTCACCCTGGGAAGGCAACAGTACTTAAACCAAAAGTATGGGAAAAACCAGCCAAAATGTACAAGGCAACAATAGATGTCATCTTCATATTTGGGTTCAAGAATCCATTTTGGTGGTGGCAAGACAACTGGCTTTGCATGATTTATGACTCCTTGGATTATGCAAAGAAAAATGAACACAAACACAGACTTGCAAGACATGGCCGTTAGAAAAGAAGACCTCAAGAAAACAGCAAAAGGAACACAAGAACAGAATGCAGAAAGTCAGGGGGACTGCAAAGGTCAATGTTGGTGCTGTAAAAAGGAGTAAAGATTCTTCAGTGACTTTATCTATGATTATGCACATTTTTCATGAGAGGATTAACAAACTAAAAACTTAAAAAAAAAAATCAAATGCCAATATAGTACTGGTAAGAACCAATATGGCCACTATGTTTACTTTTGGTTTTTACATTTAAGAAATAGTAAATGTTTAAAACCCAGGACAAAAACTAGATCATATAGAGAAAAAGTTAAACGAGTTAGAAAAGTAATTAATGAGTTAAAAACTAGTAAAAAGTAGTTTCTTTATGCCCTTAGAAAAAACAATAAAAGCAAAATAGACTTATACTATCCTGAAAAAAGTTTAGAAAGGCCCCTGGAAAAACCTCTTGCTATAAAAGTCAACAAAACCACCATGAAAACTGCCACAATTTTTTTTTTTGAAAGGACACACATTGTATAATTCTTTTTATTTATTTATTCTTAATCCTCACCTGAGGATATTTTTTCCATTGCTTTTTCAGAGAGTGGAAAGGGGAGAGAATGAGAGAAAAAGAAACATTGATGTGAGAGAGACACATCAATTGGTCACCTCCCACTCCCGCCCCTACCAGGGTGAGCCTGCAACCAAAGTACGTGCCCTTTGCTGGAATCAAACTGAGGACTCTCTGGTCGGAGGGCTGACACTCTAACCACTGAACCAAACCACCTAGGGTGAATGCTGTTGCAATTTTACCTTAATAACTTATCAACTATGTTTCAAGTTGTCAACTACTTGGGGAATGAGAGAATGAAATATACAGTACTTATTCCCTTACAAGCTCTCAGCTATTCAGCATCATCTGTGATAATTATCAAAAGATTGTTTCTAATGTAGAACTTATCACTATCAAGTGAAATAAGTTAACAATTAGAACACTAAATTTTAAAAAATTAGTAGAGATACAGATCAAGGACTGGCAAACATGGCCCCGGGCCAATATTGGGCTGCCACCTTTTTTTGTCAATAAAGTTATACGGAAACACAGCCATGTCCATTCGTTTACATATTATCTATTGCTGATTTTGCCTTACAACAGCATAGCGGAATACTTGTGACAAATGACAAAAATGACTCATAAAACCTAAAATATTTACTCTCTGAACCTTTACAGAAAGTTTGCTGACTCCTAACATTAAGTTCTTTAAGACTTATTAACATTGCAATTTCTGAACAATAAGAAAACCATTTCTGTATCTGAGGCATATTACTTATCCTATTTGTCTAAAGTAGTGTAAGATCTCATGTTGAGATGAAACTCTAAATCTAGGATAAAAATGTTATCTTTTTTGTCAGGCAGAAATCTCAAGTACAATTTTAAAAGTTGAAAACGGACTTCAATAAGGCTCATTTCATTAATCCTGGTCAATGAAATAGGTACTGAAAATGGCTTGAACAGATAAAAATCTGTCAAGAGTTACAGAGGAAAGATGATAAATACAGAAAATATAATTATTAAGAGAGTAGTTACTTACGCTGTATGTGAATGAGCTGCTTTGGCATTTTAAATTCCCCAGGATATATAGACTCATAGTAAGCAATATTACTTTCTGCCTCTGGGACAGGTATAACCATATTATCCCTCTTCTCGCCATACACTTGCTGTGCTGAAATAGCCCGTTGAAGATGGTGTTCCTAAAAAAAGAGGGAAAAATAGGTAAGTTTATGTATTTTTTAAAAAGCAAACGGGATGTATAGTGTTATGAAGAGGTTTCTGTTCATTTGTTTCTAAAATACAGGGATTTTAGTAGTCATTTGAAAGGATGTTGCTAAAAATTCAGTTAGTAGCAAAAATATTTTAAATAGAAACGAGATTTTATTAGACATATTGTGTATTTCTTTAAATTAGGAGAAAGTACTACACTGAAACTGAGAGAGTTAAATTATACAAAAGATTCCAAAAGTTGACTGTTACATAAAGTCTGCATTTTACAGAGGAAATTTCAAAGAAAAGGGTTAAAACATTGAACATGTATGAGCAAAGCAGGCTACGGAAAAAAATTTAATCGACTCTTATCTCCTATATAGTACTTTCATACAAATACTATGTTTTCAAAGAAGGATAGAGATTATCTCCATTTTTAGTTGATAAAATGGACACAGATTCAAGCCTGGTCTTTTGTCTGGAGTAATAACTTTTTTTTAAATGAATTTCCAGACCCCTTTTGAACAATAGTAGAGAAAGCACTGGAGTTGAAAGCATAGGCTCTGGAGTTTTGTGTCTCTTGGCAAGATACTTCAGTCTTCTAAATCTATTTCCTCCAGTAAGAGAAAAATAGAATCTACCTGATAGTGTTGGTTAGAGATATAAGAAAGGTAAATTTAAGTAAAATGTTTAGTATGATGTCTGGTATGTAACAGTTGCTCAAAGGGAGCTTTGATTTAGTGACCACAAAGGATGATTTTGCCAGTTTGTGATACTACCAGCTGTCATAAAAGTATCAAGTTCTCATCCAGCCCTATAAGCGCTGAATTTTGGTTAACATTTTATTAAATTTTAACTATTTTTCTTAAATACATAAAATATAACTTCAAGGATGAAAAACATTCCAACAGTATGAAAACAAAAAATTCCAGTCCTCATAAGTAGCCTCTGTTAAAGATAAGATATATGTTTATATATATATTTAAATTTACAGATAGGATTCTACTATGCAACATACAGAGCTTTATCCCTTGGCTCACTTGATATATTCTGGAGATCTTTCCATACTGACACTTCAATATTTGCAACAGCTGCACTGTATTGCACTATATCGATGCACAGGTTTCTAATGTAATCCGTTCCGGAAGACTGTTCGAGTTCGGAAACGTTCGAAAGCCGAGGGATTAACAGCCAAGAACTAGGCCTCAGGCTCTTGCGCTCAGCGGAAGCCGCGTGGCATGTTCGACTTCCGAGGCGGGTTGGAAAACCTAAGCATTTACTTCCGGGTTTACGGCGTTCGTAAACTCAAATGTTCGTTAACGGAGGCGTTTGGAAACCGAAGTACCACTGTACCATAATTTAACTAGACACTGATAAGAAAAAAAGCCCCGGAAGCAACAGAAATGCCATTCCTTCTCCCCGAATGCTGCAGAAACCACTCCTGTACTATTATATACAAGACATTTTTGTGGATTTGTGAAAGCATCTACAGGACAATTTACAAATGGAAATGCTCAAAGGGTATATGAGGTTACAACAACATATATGCCTATCATTCCTTGTAGTAACTAAACATCCCTTTTGAATTTTAAAACCACCCATCTCATTTTAATTTTTTTACAATGCCATTTATGTTCTCCCCCCCAAAATATGTTGCTGCTTTTTGCTCATTGTCAAAAGTTCTGCTTTTTTCTTGTTGATGTCTAAATACACGGATTATTTCCTTTTTAATATTAAGGAAATTAGCCCCATGTAGTAAGTTTTACAAATATTTTCCTGAAGTTTGACTTTTTGACTTTGTTTAGAGTATTTTTTCCACACAGGAAAGTTCTACCAGTCAAATTTACAAATCTTTTTCTTTATGATTTTGTCAAGCCTAATAATAGGTATAAATTGTATTGTCACAAACTAGGGTGTATAAACAAATACTTTCTTTTTTATAACCCAATTTGATCTTTGATTCAGGCTGCCTAAGGGCTTCTGGGAGCTGGTAGAAACTAAGTGTGTAGGTGGGCAGGAGGGTTGACCAATAGCTAATTGTATCCTCTTATACTTGGGTAGTTTGTTTTGTCTACTGGTCCCTACTGCCCACTGACACAGGGTGCTTCTGTGAAGCTCAGCTGGAAAGTCAGTCACATGCATACTCTTCTACTCTGATACCCTCAAGAGTCAAGAGAAAATTTTTTTTACCCATGCCCCCCCATATATACATCAAAATCAAGGAAGGAGTGGGGAAGCAAGGCACGTTATTCTTGGTTTGCATTTTGTGCCTAATTTAGAATGCTCAATCTATTATTTCTTTGTGTAGGTGAGCATGTGAGAGAGATGATTGTTTAATTTTTTTTTTGTATAAGGATAGTGAGCACATAAATTTCATTCATAAAATCATCCACTTTCCTTAATGATTAAAAATGTCCCTTTATCATAGAATAAATTCCCCTTGCACTTAGGAGTATTTCCAAGCTCTTGTTTCCTACTCAGCTGTCTCCTATGCCAGTATTTAATGTGTTTTAAATGTAGAAACTGTAGTTTTATACTACATTTTATTATCATAATTCTTTGCCAGCACTTTCCTGGATATCTCATTTATTTTCCTAGATGAACTATAATAAAAATTATTTTCTAGTTGTGAAATAGGACCCCCAAAAGCTGATTTTTATAGGCAATACAGTATGGTGTTTAAGAACATAAACTTTATCATCAAGGCTGCTCTGAACTTGAATGTTGGTGCCACAGTTTGCTAGCTCTATGACTCTGGGACCTGGAACAAGATATTTATCCCAGCCAAGTTTTATTATCTGTAAATGTACATTTGTGTACCTACCACATGGGACTGTGGTAAAGATAAAATGCCTGAGGCATGCTATATACCCAAAACATGGTAGCAAAGGTATACCTTTCAATATCAAGAAGATGAAGAGTTTTCTACATGCTTAATATTTCTAGTGTGAACAGTGTTCTGTAGAAAGATGTTTCCTTACGTTTATATTCATTTCCATAACTGTGGAATCAAATTTTTGTTTATCAATATTATAATGAATACTTACAGCTTTAAAAAAATCTTATTTGTGGTTTTTTTGTTTTATAAAACATTTCACACAATTTCTTTGTATCTTTAACAGTGAAGAAAATTATTTCCCCTTAATACATGGCATTTAGGGGTGAAGTGTCATGATATGTGCAACATACTTTCAAATGATTCAATCAAACACCATTTTCTTATGACAGAATAAAAAAATACTGCAAAACATTATAGAATCTAGACTGAGAGTATGTAGTAGTTCATTGTATGATTCTTTCACAGTTTTTCCTCTAAGTTTGAAAATTTTCATAATGAAAAGTTAGATAAAGAATAGGAACCCAAGATGGGTCTAATAGACAACAGATATGGTTAAGTTCTTCTCTAAGTCTTAAAAATCATTCCTCAACAACTGGGGTGTAACTATAACCTCATGTATTCCCACTTATTTTCTCCCATGTATATATGAGGATTCTAAGACAAGAAGACCAAACAGAGAAGGCTAGCGTGGCACAGTAAGTGATGGGGGAGAATGACAGGAGCCCCTGCATAGGAAGTTAGCACCAAATCATGCAGGGTCATGGGTCATGTTAAGGATTTGTTGATTTACTAAGAGCAATAGTGGCTGAAGGGCCACTAGCTGCTGTACAGAAAATGAGCCATAGTCTATGTAATAGGATATATGTAGCCTTTAAATGGTTCAGAATAATATTTAATGATATGAGAAAGAGCCTCAACAATTTATTAAGTAAAAAAAAAAAAAAGATCTGAATATTGTATGTTTAGGATATTTGTGTTTTACCTTTTTAAAAAGAAAAAGGCACAACTGAACATATAGAGAGAGAAAGAGAAAAGTCTAAAAGCAGATGTGCACATATATAATAACCCTTCTCTTTATAGTCCTTTTTTCCTTCTTTCCCTGCTTTATTTTTTCATAGCACTTATCATCCTCTGACATGTAATATACTTGGTTTGTTTACTATTGTCACCCCTTCCTCCCCATCCTATCCCCCCATCTCAATCTAAGCACCTATTTTGTTCACTGCTGAATAGCCACCCTAAAATAGAGCTGGGCACAAAACATGGTGCTTAAATATTTGTTGAATAAACAAATATGTATGTATGCATCTGTGTATGTACATGCATATGCACACACATGCATGCATGCACACACATACATAAAATTTTAAAGTGCATACACCAAAAAGTAAATAGATTATGTCCAGGTGGTACGATTTTGAAATGCTCTTCTGTAATTTTACTTCCTATGTTTTCTTTTTTTTTTTAATCCTCATTCGAGGATATTTTTTCCATTGCTTTTCAGAGAGAGTGAGAGGGAGAGAGAGAAACATTGATGGGAGAGAGACACATAGATTGGCTGCCTCCGGGGACGGGGATCGAGTCTGCAACAGAAGTACATGCCCTTGGCTGGAATTAAAGCCAGGACTCTTCAGTCCGAGGGCAGACACTCTAATTACTAAGCCAAATCGGCCAGGGCTCCATGTTTTCTAAGATACTTTCTGATAAAAAAAAATCTGAATACATTTCACTAAATGATTTTCTAAAAAAATTATTTCTAAAAGACATAAATTATTTGCTTCAGTAAAGCTTTTCCCATTTAAGTCAGAAGCAATCTAGGAATCTATCAATAGATGAATGGATAAAGATGTGGTATATATTCACAATGGGATATTATTCAGCAATAAAAAAGAATGCAATCTTGCCAATTTGCAACAACATGTTAAGTGAAATAAGTCACACAGAGAAAGACAAATACTGTATGACTTCATTTATATCTGGATCTAAAAAACAAAGCAAACAAAAAACAAAACAAAACAGAAACAGATTTAGATACAGAGAATAAACTGATGGATGCCACAGGGAGGGGTTGAGTAAAAAGGGTGAAGGGAAATAAGAGGTATAAACTTTCATGGGGTTATAATGTACAGCACAGAGATACAATCAATAATA